TTTTCTTTTCTTTTCTTTTCTTTTCTTTTATTTTCCTTTCTTTTCTTTTGTTTTCTTTTCTTTTCTTTTCCTTTCCTTTCTTTTCTTTTATTTTCTTTTCTCGAGTAGGTGATGGCGTTTTTCGGAGAGCCACAGTGGGCAGTGGTGGGCGATACGTTTCCCGTGGGTTGCGCCTGGGCCGACTCGATCGTGTACAGGGATACGAGCTTCGAGGATAATCCGGACGGTAAAGATTGTCGATACAAGTGAGTAAAAGAGTAGGAAGGAAGAGAAAAAGAAGAAGAAGAAGAGAAGGAGAGGCAGAAGAGGGGGGGAAGATGAGATATCGTTCCGTTTCAGCACGAAATACGGTATGTACCAGCCGAAATGCGGGATAGACAACTTGCTCATGTCCTGGGGCCACGACGAGTATTTGTATCGCGTTCTTGTGCACAACAATTGCAAACTACCCGAGGAGGCTTTGGCAATGATTCGCTATCACTCGTTCTATCCGTGGCACGCGGGTGGCGACTACATGCACTTTTGCACCTCGAAAGATATGGAAACGTTAAAATGGATCGTCGAGTTTAAGTGAGTAGAGAGATAAAGATAGAAAAAAAGAGAAAAGTATCTATCGAACGATATCGCGTTTTCAGCAAATACGATCTGTACACGAAGAACAACGAGGTGCCCGACATCGAGAAATTGTGGCCGTATTACGAGAAACTGATCGACAAGTACATTCCTGGCGTGTTGGAATGGTAATGAAAAACGACGGACATGGTACATGGAAACACGATTGGATAGAGGATTTTGGGACATTTTTCGGCGTCACGTTCGCCATAGGCGAACATAGGTCGGTTACTACGACCTATGTTCTCTCCGAGAGTGAAATAAAAACTGGATATATATATATCCTTAGTCAATGGACGATACGATAGGAGAAATCCAATTTGTGCGGAATTCTTTTTTAGTTGGTAAAATTCGCTCGATGAAACGCGAAGGAAGAAAGTAATGTTGAGTGCTGATGGAATCGCGTGGGTCATTGAGGCCTATAACGAGTTTAGTTTATCGGAAGGGAAAAAGCGAGAGAGGAGGAAAGGGCGAGGAGGAGCGATGCGCAGGAAAACTTCCTTACTCCATTTTTCGCTTTCCCTTTAACTTTCCTTTCCATTTCCGCGTTCTCGTTTCTCTCCTCGAATCGAAAAGCCCGCCCCGATCGAAGCGATCGTTCGAAAATGAAAATAATGGAAGAAGCTTGGTCGAACGAATAATTTTCTCTCTTTCTTTTTATTTTTCCTTTCGTCACTGTGCGACGTCTCCGTTAAATTTTTCTCGAACAAAGAAAATTTTTCGATCCGTACTAAGAAAATCCCGACTAAGAAATAAATAAGTAAACAAGTAAATAAATAAATAAACAAGCAAAGAAAAATAAATAAAAAAATAAAAATACCCTTTGTTCCACGATAAAGAAGCTCTCGTTGCGAGAGCGAGAGCGAGAGGGGGGGAGAGGGGAAGAATTTTGCGTAGCGATGCGATGCGACACGCCTCGCGTCGTTGATGCGCGAAACTTTTGATGCAATGTTGGGAAGAAGCTCTATAAACCACGGGTATGCGTGGTTTCGCGGGTAATCGAAAACCCATAGTCGCCGTACTCGCCCACTTTCGAGAAGACCCATCCGTTCCCACGTGGGGAAACATCCGATCGACGTCGAGGCCCTTCGAGATGACCGAGAGAGTTGGAGGGGGGAGCGGAAGCGAAGTACCTCGACGGCACGAAGAACGCCGCGGAAACGCGGTTTGGAACGCGCCCTCCTCCTCGAAAACTCGGCCGACCGACTTGGACTTACTCCGTTCGAGCGCGATGAGGAAACGGTTGAGGTGAGGGTTATTTATGAGGGGGCTACGATGAGGCTTCTTTATTTTTTAAGAACGGGGAAGAGACGCGTCTCGTTTCGTTTCGTTCCTCGTTAAGGGTGAGAGACGACGGTGTCTCTCCGTTTCTCCGTTTTCTCGGCGGATCTCGGAGGGAGGGGGGAACGGCGTGTAGGTTGCCGTCGTTGGAGAAGGCCGGTGCGTGGCGCGGCGGCGGCGAGATTGGCTTAGTCATCGTCGCGTTATTACGGGCTATTACGGGGTATTAGCGGGAAGAGCCGCAACGACCGACAACGATTGCGGGGGGGGGGGGGGGGGGGGGGGGGGGGCGGGGCGGGGGAAGATCGGCCTATTCGTGAATCACGCTTCTCCACCTTGCGAAGCTCGTCCAGGAATTCCAGGAACGAACGAACGAACGAACGAACGACGCGACCCGACGTGACGGCGACGCGAGGTAAACCGAACGAATGGGAGCATTTAGCGCTAGGCGAGGTGGAGGGGAGGCGTGAGACCGTACGGTAGAGCGCGCGAGAGGCAGGACGTCGAATATCCGTGTATCCTCGTTTCAATCTCTCTCTCTCTCTCTCTCGTCTTCGTTTCAGGATCGATGGATCGACGGCGATGATAGAATAGGAAAAGGATTGGTAAGACGTCTTTCCAATGATGCAAGCTCGAGAAATTCCGCGTGACGTGTCGCGCACGCCTACCTAAAGAAAACGCGATCACGCCAACTTTTCGTTCCACGAAAGAACCGCGCGAGGGATAGTGGAACTACGCGCGCCACTAGCGGGAATTCGTTTCACCGATCGATCGATTCCCCGAAATCCTAGCAACGTTCTCGTCTCTGGTCGTATAAAACGATAGCGACACCGGCTCCCTGGTATTTTCGAGGTGGTATTATATGAAGTAATTAGTCGATTAGACGAGAATAAACGAGGGAGAGAGAGAGAGAGAGAATCGATCGAGGAAAAAAAAAAAACAAACAAAAAAAATAACGACTCGACTTCGTGGATTCGTTTCGCGTACGCGAATACTAAGAACGAGACGAATAAATATAAAGTGAATCTAAAGTAGTAAAGTAAAGTAAAAAAAAAGAAGAAGAGGAAGGAAAAAAAGAGAGGAAAGGGATGGGGGGGAGGGAAGCAGGGGGATTGGTCGTTTCGAGGCGACTTTTGACCTGAACCAGCGCGATTACTCCAATCTCTCTCCGCTCGTTCGTTCTCTCCGATTTTGTTCCATTTAACGGTTCTTCCGGTGATAAGAAGGCACGGACGAAGCGGCGCCTCGTTGCTTCCGCGTCGCACGCTCCCGTGCGTGTTGCAAAGAAAGCAAGAAAATTCGTATCTCGAACTCGAAATCTCTCGTCGAGATCTGAAGATGCCACGAGCGTACATAAATTACACGTAGTGTAACAATATATATATATATATAATATATATTGTTAATATATATATACACACGCACACACACGTATATATANGAGATTGCGTCACGCGGTAAAAAACCTGGGAAACGCGAGGCCCCGAATTCTCGAAACGTCAAAATAAGAATCACGATTTTGGAGGGAGGAAGGGAGGGGGGTTAGGTTAGGGGAAGAGAAGGAGGAAAGTGAGAAAAACGAATTGGTTCGTGTTGTTCGGTTACGCGTGACGTAATATATATATGTATATGTATATATATATATATACGAATGTGACGTAAAAAAAGGAAAAAGAAAGAAGAGAAAAAAAGCGAGAGGGGCATGTCGATTCAAAGCGCCGGAAGATATCGATCGGGAAATCAGAGAAACTCGGGAGACGAGACGAGAGGAGAGGAGAAAAGTGAGATATAAATTGAATCGAAGAGATAGGGGTGAAAGGTGGATCGCGAGGTTAAACTCGTGGATTGAGGAGCCGGCTAT